AATTTACCCCAAAATACAAGGAATAGTTTGTGTATCTACTTTTTGCCAAGATGAACAACAAATAAGAAACAGGTTTGGTCCTTTAGAAAAGGGGGAAAGGTGTACACAGTAGCCCAGATCCTATTAGTCACACCTGCTGGCCTCGTGGAATTGGCCTAAGTCCTGTTGGTGAATTGTTGCAAGTTAAAAATTTAGCATCAGTATTTGCTATCATGGGCCAAGCAGCACAACTTACTGCATATGCCTATGCTAACTTCCTGCTTTGTAGGAATCTGCCAATGACATTTGTGCCCATTGAATTTCACTGGTATAAAAAAAATCAATAGGATTTTGGCCAGTACATGGCATTTCCTGCCTTTTTCATCCTTTCATTTAAATTAACAATTATTTCAAATTGTCCTTTCAGTATCTTTGATTTCCGCATATAAGAATTTTACGCCTTAACCCAAATACTTGGACCTAAAGTGTTGCACACTATTTTTGGTTGAAGACTGTGTGTATTTCCCCATTGGAAATGTGCGCAGAATAATGTAGTCTGATCCTCAAAGTACAGTGCAAATGGTCCAGGTCAAGTTCTCTTTCATCCCTCTTATGTTAAACTTATGCATGCAATCAACTCTAGTACCAGTTTCTTCTCACATGCCAATTTCAGAATAACTTGCCATTGATTTTAAGAACTCCTAATCTAAAAGACAACAGCAATAGTGTATTATTATCATTATTATTACTTGCATGGCACTTACAAATGAGTGAAGCACTTCATGCGCATTGTGTAGCTGGAATCCTTAACTGCACCCTATGCATTAAGTCAACAATATTATCCTGCCATTTTATGGATTGAAGAATTGAGGCTGAAAAGAAAGTGACCTGCCAAAGGCCACCTAGTAAATCTATTGCAGAGAAAGAATTGCTTTTGTAGGAAATTAAATATTCTCACATTCCCCCCTGGGTAAAGCAGACTCGGGTCCACCAGATGAACCATCTGTTTGGCAAGCAGAGCTTCTAACTTCATATGAAAAGAGAAGAAACAGCCTTTTAGCAAAATATGGAGAATCCCTCATGCTCACTAGGGGAAGTTTGGATTTTGTAGGCCATGAAGATAACTTTCCCCCCACCAAGCAAAAATTAGCAACACAAGGACAGAATTTTCAGCATGTATTAAAACAAACACTGATAATAAAATGAGCAGTTGAAGTTTTTTAACAGTACCATGTATCAACGCGACTTTAAAAGTACGAAACACATAAATGTCGGCATATATCCATGCCGGCAGACACATCATACAATGATTCCACATGGAAATGTAATTACTTCATTAAAATATGTGACATAAGCCTCATGAGTTACATCTTTTTCTCCAGGGTAATTTTTGCTGCGGAAGTACTTGCTACTGGGAATCTCTTACACCTTTTCTCCTTGGATGAAGGATAAATATCCCATGAGGAATGCACTACTTTATTATAACTGTTTCCTGTAGTTTATATCTTTTATAATCGAGAAAAGTATCTACCAAATGATATCATTTTGTCAGCATGTTCCACTCAGAGTCAAGAAACTCCTTGTTCTAATTAGAATCTGTGTAATAATATATATCTTAGAAAAGAGACTTGTTCAGAAATGTCATTCCACCTTTATCCTATGTTGGAAAACAACCCTGAATCAAGAAACCAATCTCTAACCTTTATTATTAAATGAGCTGGTTATGGATTAGGAAATGCTCCTTCTATTGTCAACAGGACGTACCCTAAGTCAGAACTACCCTATGGATTCCTTTATCTTAAATTGCAGAAATAAAGTCTCATTTTAAAGGCCAGAATCCTATTGGTGTTCATGCCATAGTTGCATAACTTGTGGCAGCTAATTGTTGAGGTGCTGGTGCGGGCTTCCTGTTTATGCCTAGTCACACACCTAACTGACCAATTTAGCAAATTACAGTAGGACTCTCATATTTGCTGGGGATTGGTTCCAACCCTCCCGTAGATACTGAAAACTGTGGATAAAAGCAAACAATATATACATATACCATATTTTCACATGCATTACAAGAACTAGCCATTAGAGGACACCAGAGACCATGCTACGTATTCATCATTAACAAGTATTCATAGCCCAGTTTCTGGCTCCCTCTAGTGGCTGGTTCTGGTAATACATGTGAAACTAGGGGGGGGGGTTCTCAATTTTTCTTTTTAAAATATTTTTACACCATGAATCAGTTGATACTGATCGCATGGATAAGGATGTCCTGCTGTACATAAATCCTACATGGGAACCAACAGAATTCTGGCAAAGGGCTTTTTAATGTTTAGCACTCTTTTTCTTAATCATTCAGATGACAACGTCAGAATCCTTTATGCTTTTACAGCAGTTTGACTTGTAACCCAAGTAGCAATCTTTCAGCATGGGCTTAGACTTCCCTAAACTGACAATTTTTATTTTATAATCCTTAATGGTATAATTTAGCAGTTGCACACAGCTGTGGTCTAGCACACCAAAAAAGCAAAAACAAACAAAACAAAACAAAAAAACAAACAAAAAAATAACAAAACAAAAAGGAGGAAAGGGAACACATCTTTAGCCCAGTGTTATGTATTCTACCCCGATCTGTTCATCTTGGCTTCTGGAAAATATGTATCCTACCATTAAAGGTATGTTTGAAAACATAAGTCTGCTTTCCTGTTTTTCAAAAGGAATTAAAACAGTTATTCTATAAACCTATAGTATTTGAATGCTGTAAGTCACTGCCCTTGAGCATCTGATGCTTTCTTCTTTTATCCCTCTTGCTGCCATCTCAGCTGTTGCAACAGAAAACCAGGCAGCATTTGAACTGTGTGATCTTTGCAACTTATTGTTTAATGACATCACACCGCCCAACGATAAAAGTAGCTTAAAAGCTACACTTGTACCACAAACAGAGTAAAATTATCCCTCATTAAGTTACAAATATAATTTATTTCTATTTTTGGGAAAGAAACAAAAAATGTGGGTCCCCCGCACCTCCTCCTCAAATAAACAAATACCCAACTTGGTAAAGTTAGGAAACAGGTTAATAAATATATTTCTGATTTTGCTATTATTTGTCCTGGCGATCAGAATAATCAGAATAAAGTTATACTTTTCAAAAAGATGTTTCTAAACCTTGGCTGTATTGAACAAAATATATTTTGAGTAATTCAAACAAAAACCTCATGTTCTTGAATGCCCTGCTTACTATGCAAGGACTTGTGATCTTTTACATGAAGCTGACCAACCTACTCTGCAACTATAAAACTCACTAAATTAAGACATCACCCGAGTTGAGAAATTATGGATATATAGAAATAATGACATGCTGAAGCCATCCATAACTCACCTGTGACAGGATGATGTGTTAGGTTCCTGAGCATATTGCTACCTCTACTGAATTACCAATGGTTTCAATGTGCCTTTGTATTCATCTTGTTGAGAAGCAACTTTCCAAGCATTGGATATGCCGCACTATTTCTACTAGATGCTGTTTACACAGCATTAAAAGTATGATAAGCAAAATAAAACTCTTCATAGATAAATGTGACATTTGCCTAGTTTTGAAACCCCAAGGAACAATTCACCAGACCCAGAACAAACTCCCAGTGTAGTCATATCTCATTACTGACAGAAGTAATAAGTGTGTTATTTCCTTGTTTTTATTTCTGAGATAGCATATATAGGCTTTTTCACATACAGCTTTGAACTGCTCCAAGGGGGCAGCATTAATCTTAACCAAATACACTCTTCAAAATTAAATAACTGTAGGTCTACTTCACAGATGAGTCTGAATCCTTAATCTCTATGTTAATTTCAGATCATGGGATTCTTTCAAGCAGCACTTATAGTTCCGTTAGAGCTGTGGAGCAAAGCCTCCTTCACAGAAGGGGTTAAGATCAGAGTCACCAAGCTACATTCATTCCCCCTCTCCTTTTAAGTCTATCATCTTATCACTGTCATCTCAAATTTTCCTGTCAATCTTCTGATTTTCTTCCCATGACAGAAAATCAAATCCCACCTCTCCCTAAAAATAGGATTACAATTTCCACACACATACACAGCTTTAGGTACTACCCTTCTGTCTTTTCTTTAACAAGAAAGGTTTAGATGCGGGCATACTGTATATGCATCTGAAAACTGAATTTATCCCAACCTGGCACACATTTATTACAACATTTACAGTGGGCATACTACATTCTATTTTCAGGATACTTACTTCTACAAGGAGGGCTCCTAACTCCACCAATCAAAACCCACACATGCAGTAACTGTGAATTCTACTAGTAGTTGACCAATAGAAGAGAAACAACTAGGTAATACCAAGAACCACCCATGTAGAAGCATCCCTAAGCTTAGAAATCTTGTCCTTTCCCATCTGCTGATGCTCATTAAGGAGCAAACACTTCTTTCCTTCCAAACACTTACCTGGAGTGGAGCCCACCTTAAATTCGTTCATAACAATTCTGAGAACCATTTCCAGCTGGTTTCCCCCAGATCTCACTCTATGATTTGTAAATGACACAGATCAAGGCATTTCATCATCTCATTTTTACTCTTACTGTTTCAAACCCTTGGAATGATAACAGTAAGAACGAGATATTCTACTCTCTCTCCACAGGAAGCCTGACACTTCAAAAGTGGGCCATGTACTTGGCGCTGAGTCTATCATTCAGCAAGAAATCAAGGGCAAGTTATCACACTAGCCAAGAAATGGAGCAGAAATGGCGCATTATTCCTCCTTTTAAAACACTCATATATATTTAACCACCACCCAGCTATTTATTTCCTTAGTCTAAAATGTATAAAATGCCAAAGAAGGAAAGCATCATGGTAGCAGAAGGCCACCATGATTCAATGCCTCAGCTCTGATATCTCATAACAGAAAGGACTCTCTTATGTGAAACATCAGAACACCTCACTTGCTGTATTTGCTCTCATGTAATGTCTATGGTTGACCTTTACTGAGGCAATGCACATGAATGGCCTCGTTGGCTTACCCTTCCTCTTCCACCATGGTCCTTCCTGGATAGAATAGGAGAGTTCTTTAAACTCAATGTTCACGGCTGGTCTCCGAGGAAGGTAGGAAAAGCGATGGGCTTCCGTCAAAGTATTGTCCAGCTTTTTCAGGTGGCCGCTGAGCAAATGGACATCTTGTGTGTCTGTGCCACTAGAGACCACCTCATCCACTGAGACACATACCGACTTTGGCTCAGGCATAGCGGGTGCGGAATGGCTGGCATTCTAGAAGAGAAGGGGCAAGAATCAAATAATGATTTTCTGAAACGTTTCCAAGGAAAATCAATTCACTAAACATTTGTTCCACTGCTTTAACTCACAGTACTATGAAAAGGAGAAGGTGGAGGAGGAGGAGGAGGAGAGAAAAACAACCAACCTAGACTGTGTAAGTTCTGCTAATTCTGTGTTATGAAAGGGAAGCAAGGTTCAAGTCCCAAACAAGCTACAACATTCTCTACATGACTCTCTCCCATCCTGGTCTATCTCAAAGAGATGTGGAAATAAAAGGCCAAAAAGGAAGAGTCGCTTATATTGCCTTGTGCTCACTGGAGGGAAGGTGTGGTTTACCTATAACTACTAAAGAACTCGTGGCTTAACTACTTTTTAGAGTAGTCCCAGGCCTGCCTGTTACTCTTCTCAGCACTTCCTCCTCATCCCACTGGGAAATATCCAGGAAGAATATATGCTACCTTCCATGATTCCTGTATTCTTCCTCACTAGTTCAGGCAGCTTCAAACCCCACTATATTACCTTGGAAAACCCCTCCCCCTTTTCTATGTTTTGTCCTTGTGAACACTACACTTCCCATTCCCCCCAATGCAATTTATTTCTTGTCTTGGACTTCTTGCATTTTGCTAGGCTATGAAGAGTTAATGCATAAAGCACATTTTCTGGAGAGGAAACTGAAGGGTACAACAGGAAGATGCCAAAAGCAGATCAGGGGAAGCCAAGAATCTGTGCCTAAAGTAGCTTTGCAACTCTTGCTTCCTCCTACATAGTACATCTTCTCCTCAGACATCAAGGTGATCAACCAGGGCAACTGTGTTTGCCAGATCTCGGCCATTTTGCCCTGTCTATGGCTCATGAACTCTCAGAGTTACATCTCTGTGCTCCACCCAGACTGTGGTATAGAGAAAACAGTGTAACATTCAAAGTTTGCTGACCATTTCCTATTAGGTTGAGGAGGGTGTGCAGCACAAGACATCACAGATATGGTTGCTGATTTTCATTTGCCACACAGGTCCAAAGTGATGAACGTTACACTGATTATTTGTTAAGAGTAAGCCTCTTTAACAAATAATCAGGTACTTACATAATGGCTGAAATAAGGTTTTAAAAGAAATAGAAAAAGAGGGTTCATTTTCTAAAACTCTTGCTCTTTCTATGCTGGCAGCTGCAAAACTGGATCTAGCCATGATCATCTTTCCTACAGTTGGGAGACTGCCATCCTGCCACCATTAGTCAAAGGTCTGCACAAGAAATCAAAGTGAGTTTAATGCTAGTTGTTGCCCATTGCCTGTACATTCCTAAAACAGTAAGGAAGGCAACTGTACTTCTTAAAGACTCCAGCAAAGCAGACCTGAAAACGTGTCTGAGGATTGCCAGTTTTAGCTCACAAAGTTATGGGCTGCAGCCCAATCATAAGTGGAATATTGCTGGAACAAACAAGAGGAATCATGGTCCAGTAACCTCTTCCATACAACAGCTAGTGGCTAGCCTTGGTTCCAGAACACCATTGCTCTGTTTGGGATACACTCAGCATTTATTCATATTGATATTATTGATATTCATTCTCATTAAACATACTGTAACTATCTTTAATAACGCTATTAATTAGAACTATAAGGGCAAGGGCTCTCCCCTGGTTCTCCTCCTCCTCTTGCACATTCACCTCCAGTTATCTACATATACACTGTCTCTAAACATGGAGATTTGATTTATAGTGAGCAACAGACCTGTTTTCCAGAAATACGTTCTCTTTTGAAAGCCATATTAGCCCATGTCCATAACTACAGCTTATGGCAAGGAATTCTTCAAGGATATGCACAGCCCCTCTGGGCCCATGTGCTCCTAAACGACAGCAGCAAAATCACAGCCCACCTAACTCCTCCAATTCTTGCTAAGAATGCTAGATCTTAGTCTGGACTCAACAAGTTACTTTAGTTCAAGTATGCAGGGGAGAGGAAGGGGAATCCTCGGGGCTGCACATCCTTGAACTGTTCAGAGATCCTGGGTGTGCACAGCTGTTTTTAAAATTCAGTAGACAGTATTAGACCACAGGGAGAGCAAACAAGAACTGGAGTGTAAAAGGCTGAAGCTGACCTGCTCCAGCAATATGATGTCCTCTCTGTTAAATGATAAAGATCAAACTTGCCCTGCTTCTTGAAACTATGCAGCTGCTGGAAGAGGTGTGATTTGTTCTCTAGAGATGAGCAAACAGGTACTGGACAATATCCAATATCAAATAGCTTCAAAAGATCTGTTTTTGAAGTACTAAGAATCCATAGTCTCCCTCTCTCTCTAAAGCTTTTCATTATTCATTACTCATCATTAAAAGAGTAGCACTGTCTTAGCTCTGGAGCAACCCACTTTGATGTTTATTTTTATCCTCATGCTGAGATGTTTATCGGGCCCTATGGGTTAAAAAAAACAACAGCTATGCATGTTAGCCCATCCTGTGCTTGCTTCTTCTAAAAATCATGTCCGGTTGGTAGAACTAACCAGGTAAAGGTAAAAATTCCCCTTGACATTTAGTCCAGTTGTGTCCAACTCTCATCCCCGTCTCCAAGCCACAGAGCCAGCATTTATCCGTAGACAGTTTCCGTGGTCACGTGGCCAGCGCGACTAGGCACAGAACACCGTCACCTTCCCACCATGCTGGTACCTATTTATCTACTAGCATTTACATGCTTTCAAACTGCTAGGTTGGCAGGAGCTGGGACAAGTGACGGGAGCTCACTCCGTCGCGTGGACTCAATCTTACGACTGCTGGTCTCCTGACCTTGCAGCACAGAGGCTTCTGCGGTTTAACCCGCAGTGCTACCACATCCCTCTAGAACTAACCAATTCACCTTAAATACAGGAATTTTGTTTACCAAAGATATAAGTAATCAATTTTGATTTTTTTTTTTTTGAGTTGTAAATTTTACACAGGTAAAACCTGAAAGGCCAGTGAACTCAGGAGGCAAAAACCAAAAGGTTCAATCTTAGGTAATATATACTATGTTTCTCTCTCCCTCTTTCTGAACAAACCAAGTTTCCTAGTATCTTATGGTGGACATAGCCAGATTTCGTAGGGCCAGGCTGTTTAGAGTAGACCAGTTGAAATCAAAGAAAGTTCTGTTAAGATCCACTGATTCCCCTCGGAGATCCGTTATATTTTAAAGGAAGGCACAAATCTAGTGTATTACGTAAACTGGGATTTACAACATATCTCCACTTCAAAGCTCCCTCCGCTTTCCTACAGGTAGATATTTCACTCTGATTTCACTTTGTGAATGTTTTATGTTGCACAACAAGAAACTGAGCAAAAAACACATTCCTTTTCAAAGCAGGATAACACCCACTCTGAGGGGGGGGGGAACTATGTTTCAACCAAGAGAAGTTCCTTTTTCAAAGAAAAGACATTCTTTTGTTGTAAGAAGTTTGCCACTAAATCCATTATATAATGAGCTGGAGAGGTTACCGGTGTCTTGGTAAATCTGTTTTTACATCCTAGGATGCGGTGGTGAAAGCCTGAGCATGCTCAGAACATCACTTAATTCCCCCCCTCCCCTCGCTCCATCTTTTTTCATGCGCGCAAGGCAGAGGTAACTCTCGGTCAAACCCTGCTCTGTGCAGCTGACTTCAAATCCAAGATGATGTAAATGGCAAAAAAGAGAGAGAGAACAAAACAAACCCCGCAATTCTAACCAGCATATACCTGCAAGATGACATTATTTTTAAAAATCACATTTTAATTTACACCCCTGCACAACTTTGGGGGGCTTAATCAAACCCCTGGAAGGAAGAAGAAACTGTCATTGAGACTGGGCTTCTCACAAATTATATAGCTTGTCTTGCAATCACACTTCCATGACAACTATAATAATAATAATAA